GAGAGAGAGAGAGAGAGAGAGAGAGAGAGAGAGAGAGAGAGAGAGAGAGACTTCTGTGTAATCCAAACCCTCAGGAATGAGGCTACCAAACCTTTGAGCCCCAAAGCCCTGCCCTGCAGACAGGTCCAGCGCCTAATTCCTTTTTCTTATTCCCTTAATCTGTCATTTTTATCAGGCTAGGGATGTGTGGCAGTAGCAAGAGCCCCAATCAATCTCCACATTACAGTTGACAGAATGGTGCTAATAACTTATTGATCTCAGCCACCTCACTGCCACTGGTCTGACTGGCCACCCTCAGGCCCTGCCCCAAAGAGGACAGTCTCCATTGCCTGGACAGGGTCCATACCTGGTTATGGACCAGTGGATGGATGAATGGTACCTGGGTGCACTTGGGGTAGTGAGCAGCATGTCAGACCCAGCAGACAGAAGGGGCTGCTGCCATGCCAGGTGAGGAAGTGGGTCTTGCAGGGCTGTGTAGCCTAGTCCCATTCCACACTTGCTGCCCACTAACACATGCACGCTCTTTAAACTTTTTTTTTTTTCCACTACTGGGAATTGAACCCAGGGTCTTCACACTAAGCTACATCTTTAGCCCTTTTAATTTATTTACTCTATTTGGGGCTGGATATTATTAAGTCACTAAGTTGCCTGGGTTGGGCTCAAATTCGGGATCTTCCTGCCTCATCTTCCTAGAGTGCTGGGATGACAGACATGTAGACACATCCAGATCCTGAAAAGTTTAGTAAAAGGTTGAAGCCCACCTGCTCCTCATTTCAACAGTGGAAACTCCCTCTCAATACTGGAGACAGAAGCAAGAAGATTGAAAGTTCAAGCCCAACCAAGGCAATTTAAAAGACTTAATGAGACACTGTCTCAAAATAAAAAAATAAAAATAATAAAATAAAAAAAGGCTTAGGGATGCAGCTCAGTGCAAAGGTCCTGGGTTTAATTCCCAGAGCCACAAAAACAAACAACCAACCCCATTTCTCTTTTTTCTTGGGTCTGGAGGTCCTTCTTCCTCCTGAAAAGCTTGTCCCAGTCCAGGGGAGGTAATACTGTAGTAGAGCCACCTGAACATGAGACCTAGCTCCATGGCATCGATGAGGCCACATTTATTCATGGACATACATACTCAGGCACACAGGAAGTGGGAGAGGATAGGCACACTGGAAATAGGTGCGTGCACCCTGGGGGCAGCCACATGAAGCTACAAGTTCTGCTCTAGCCTACTAGTCTTCCTCCTCAGGGAGAAACAGCTCAGTGAGGATGTCTTCTGGACCACAGAAAGTGAGAAGTGGGAATGGGCTGAGATGGGTCAGATCCTTAAGGAATACAGGTATGAACCTAGATACAGTACACTTCAACAGTGGATCTTTGCACAGTGTAAAGTGACAACGGGGCAGCTAGCCAGGTGAGTATGCACCAAAGAGGGATACCCTGGCATGGAGTATGTCCTGGCCTTGGCTGAGGGCAAGGCATACAAGCCTGTGTAGGAATGAGCTCGCCTGCCCATAACTGAGGAGCCTCCAAGCTCAGGCTGCAGGGAGGGCCTGCTGCTCAGAACATCTCAATCATTGTAGGGCTCCCTCAGCTCTGCCTGATCGATGGGGCAATTAGATTTTATCAGCTGCCTGCTCAGCTGCCTCAGCGGCTACAGAAGCAGTGATCCTCCCTCCCCCCCCACACACACAAAGGCTTCTGAGCACATGGGGGCTCTGATGGGATGGCCAAGGGGGTGAACCACACCCAGCGGGAAATGTCTCTCCCCAAGGTCCCTGGCTCCTCTGAGGCGTGCCCTGGGCTCAAGCTGCCCCTTTAGCTCAAGCTGCCTCTAGGAACCAGCTCACCCTGGCAGTCTAGGGGGCTCCTGCCTGCTTCCAGGTCTAGGCTGCAGGAGGGCCATTCCCCCCCAGGACCAGGGTGGGCATGCTCTGTGGACCAGTGGATGGGTGAACATGTTCTTGCCCACAGGAGCTGTTCTGGTGCGGGCATTTCTGAGCCTCTGTGAGGCCCCTGTCTGACCTATGAGGAGGGGGTGGTGTGGCCTCTGCCACTCCAAGCCCACCCCAGCAGCAGCCACAGTGGAGCCGCTGCCTCTGCCGCCTGTCTGCCTGGCTGGCTGGGATTAACACAATTACCATCACAGGGAGGCCCAGGGGGACAGCCGGCCTCACACCTCCCATCTCCTCTGCTGGCCTTCCTGGCTGCCTGCCAAGGCGCCCAGAGCTGCTGAGCAGAGAGACATGGGGAGGGCGGCTGTCCTCGGGCTGAGCCAGTGTGGCCCTGGCAGCCCTGTCCTCTCCCTCAGGACTCCAGTGCTCCTCACCTGTGGGTCCCAGGCCAATCTCCACGCTGCCTCTCTGGAATTCACAGCGACTCTGATGCTCGGGCATAACGAGGTGGTGGTTTCGATGTACACTGGATATGAGAGTAGGCAGGCTGCTGTCCTGGCTGCAGCAAAGCAAGACAGAAGGACAGGCCCATGAGCACCCACACAGGTATGAGCCTGGGCACAGCAAATGCCTGCTGAATGTGGGCATGGGGACAGTGAGTGCTGAGAGGGGTGAGCCCTGTGGGTGGCCTGACACCCACAGGGCAGACTCCAGTGAACCAGGGACCTGGCCCTGGAACCCCACCACAGCTCCCAGGTGGTCTGTGCCAAGTTGAGGTGGCCCCTTCTGCCTTCCTATCTGCAGAAAGGACAGTGCTGCTCCTACTCCCTGCCTTGGAGGGCAGACATCTGTTCCATCTCCTGATGGACAAGGCCAGAGAGATCATGCTGTCACACGTGTTGCCAGCTCTTACAGCAATAAAATGGCATGTGCCATTTTGATTAAAACTTGCAACCACTCCCAGCCCTAATTCCACCCAATAAGGATGCGGAGATTTGGGCCAGAGTGCTGCAGCTGACAAGATGCACACCAAGCACACACAGTGCAATCACAGGCAAGCTCTGTGAGTGGGCTGCTTAGGACAACCTGCTGTCCCCAGAGCTCCCAGCCAGACCTCTTGGGCTCAGAACAAACTTCTGTTTAATTTTTCCTTCCCTCATTCTTTCCTCGCTGAGTAAGCTGAGTCCTTAGCATCAGGGCCCCACAGAAAAGGAGCAAGTGGAGTACCCCTCTGTAGCAACCCCATCATCAGCACAACATGAGAGCAAGACGGGAAGCCAAAGCCAGGACAGAGGGGCAAGGATGCCTGGCGCCTCTGGCACAAGGCCCTGGTGTGTGCGCCCCCCCCCAGCCCACCTGCAACAGAGCAGCCTCCTCTGCAGCACTGATGCTGGCGAAGCCTCCACTTGGTGACTGGGAGCCAACCCCGAATCTCATTAAATAGTCCCTTGCCCCATCTCAGGCTGGCTGGAGCTGAGCTAATCCAGGACTGTCCCTAAGCAGATCTGTTTCAGCACCAGACACCCCAGAGTGGCCACAGAGCCCCAGGAGGCCCAGACAGAATTCCCTCCCTGCCCCCATGAAAGAAGGGCAGGTGGGGAGTAAGTGCTTTATAGGATTAATCAGCACAAGGCTCATCCCTATCATCCTCACCAATGTGGGGTGGGCATAGAACTGCTGTCCTCAGCACTGGGAGAGGCCCAGGGCCAGCATGGCACAGAGCCACAGCCACCACAGGGCTGCTCCCCATGGCGACCCTCTTCCTATATCCCTAACAGCAGAAAGTGACCAGCATCTAGAGGCTGGAGAGGGTGAGGACAAAGTAAGTCTGCCCCTGGTGAGTGTCAGCCTGGGCTGGAGGAAGATGAAGAGCTCCTGCCTAACCTGTGTCTAGACTAGCTGCCATCACAGCTGCCAGCTCTTTTGTGCTCTTGGGGGTCACCAAGGCCCAGGGAGGGGGAGAACGAGGACTTGTGCCTGCCATCCACAACCCTCCTCTCTGCTTTGGGGGTTCACCCTCCAGGTTGCAAAATGGCCCCATCCTAAAAACCTGTTCTGCTCACTCAGTTCTCAAATTATGCTCTTTTTGTGTAAAGAATTGCAAGGAAACGTCATGCACACCAGACTGAAGACGATGAGTGCTGTGGTGGGTGCTACAGCATGGAGTTCCCACCACAGCCCATAAAAGGCTGTCTGGGCACCAGGTGGAAGAACCTTGGTACCCCTCCAGGGGTCTCCTCCACCCGAGCTACCTTATGAAACCATGCAATTCAGTCTTTGCCCATCTTCTTGCCAGCTTAGGGGCTCCAGGAGGCCAGAAGCCGTGTCCCCAGCCTGTAGGCAGTACTCTGCAGAGGCTTACAGGGAAAAGGGGGAACCTCTGGGTCTCTGTTCCTGCAAGCACGCACCAGTCAATGATAGGGACAGACACAGATGGACAGATGGATGGATGGAAGAGGGCAGACAGTCAAGTGGAGAATGCTAGAGATGGATGGATGGATAGAGACTGGAGACAGAAGGACAGATGGACGGGATCAGTGGATGGGACAAAGACAGAATCAAGTGGGGGTAGCACAAGGCAGGGGACCTAAATCACACACTGTCCTCCCTGTTCAGGTACTGGCGGGCTGTGTTGCAAGGGGGGCGCGGAGGGGTGGTCAGTCCTCTCAGGCATGCTGTGCCCTCCTCCTTGAAACTGCAGCTCCTTGTTATTAAATCTAGATACCCAGGGAGCCACATGGATATAGGCTTGGCCTCTTCCAAGGGGCACCCCAGGCTGCAGCAATGCATGTTATCACTGGACCCTGCACAGATACCTGGCACCCTCCAGACACCCCAAGGCCAGTGGGTGTGACAGGATGCAGGCAGGAGAGGCAATTAATGGTGGGAGCACAGTCTCTGGGTTCCCTATAGGCCTTATTGACAAATTTATCCTGTAGTGTTCCAGTAAAAGGCACATAAAGTGTCACCATTGTTCATGAGGGTTCATAAAAGCGATCAGTTGAGCTGGAAACTCCAAAATGAGGTGGAAATAAATTTAAAGATGTTTTTATTGTAATTTGGCTCCAGAATCCAGACATTCTCAAAGACATAAATAATAACACATCTGGCAAAAAGCCAGGACAAGCTCCCACCTGGCTGTGCGGCTAGGCCTTGGGGAGACCAGGTGTTCACAGGTCTGGCTAGGAAAGCCGGTCCTCCACAGAATGCCCACTGCTTCCCTGCTGGCCCCTTTCTGCTGTGTTCCCTGGGAAGCCATGGAGTAAGACTTGAATTCACTAGCCAGAAATCACAGATTAAGCAGCTCTGGCCCTCAGAAGCCAAGAACCTGGGTCCACCCCAGTACCCGCAACCTTTTCATCATGAGCTGTCATTTCTACTTCCTTGCTTCTTGAGTTCACAACCAAACTGCTTTCGTAGCATAAACCCATGTGGTCCCAGGCCAGCCCCAAGTCTGCTTGAGGGGCTGAGCCTCCTGCCAGGATGATCTTCATGGGACACATACCTAGTCACTCCCCTCCCTGCTCAAGAACTTTTCATAGCTCCCCCTGCCTAGAAGACAAAGCCCAACTGGCCCAGCATCCAAGGCGCAGACTTCTAGCATCCAACTAAGCCAAACCTGCCCTGCCAAGTTTACTTCCTCCTTCCCTCATAACTCCTTCCCGCATTTCTCCACAGCTTTGCAGACCCCTCCTCCTTAGCAAACTACTGCATATCCTTTAAGACACTCACTCAAATAACACCATTTTTACTTCCTGGGGGGTCTCAGAGGGTAAGGTCACTCACTGGCATTATCTTTGAGCAAAAGGCCTCAAATGGGGGGTTGTGACTTGGCTCCAGGGCTGGGCTGCCCAGAACCCCTATGGGGTTGGGCACAAATCTATACTGGCTGGACTATGTCCTCTGATCTCAGCAGGGCACCATGCCAATAGCATCCTAGGTAGGGTAAGAAGTAGACACATCACCTGGCACACTGGCCAAGACAATGGACAAGAGACCACAGCAGAGGAGGGCAGAAGGGTAGGCAACCTGAATTTCAGAAGCAGAAGCAGAGGACACACAGCAACAGAAGAAGCCAGTTGGGGACTCCTACCTGCAAGATGTCTCTCGGAAAGAGATGTTCACGTCCCAGTGGGTGTGGACTCTGCAGGGAGAGAAGCCAAGGGTCAGTGTGGCTCCAGCACTGGCTCTGTACAGCAGAGCATGTGGGAAGCCAGTGGGCAGTGAACTGGGGGCAGCTTCCTGTTCCTGGTTCCACCTGCTGGCAGCACCTCTGGACAGGCCCACACTGCCATTGTCAGTGGGGAAGAACGGTCCTGAGCCATGCTGGGGGCTAAGCCTTCCTCAGTGCTCTACTCATTTCACTGAAATTCAATTCCTAGTTGGCAGGAGAGGACCCCAAGATGGGATGTCAAGTAAGGTAACAGCTCCTGCTTGTGTCCCATCCCCTACAGACGTATCCACAGAAGACCCTTAGTCTTGATGTCCCCATTCCCACAGGAACTCCCGCCTCCTGGCCCTGGCCACAAAGCAAGCACCTTCTCTTCATGATACGGATGTGTGGGGCATCCTCCTCCTTCAAGCATGGCCGCCGCCCACAAGCTGTGCCACCCCCGTCACTGTCACCATCACTGGCAGAGAAGCTGTGAGTCCGCTCCTTCTTCAGGGCACGTGTCTGGGGCAGGGTGACTGTCCTCTTGTCTGCCAGCCGCCCCCGGTTCTGGGCAGGTGGGAAGAGGAAGGTGAGGCTGGCTTAGCCTCAGCCCCGTGGGCCCATGGCTGCAGACCCAGCATAAGTGTGGATGGCCTACAGTGTGGCAGCTCCTTGGATAAGCTGTCACCCCCAGCTCCCTCCCTGGCTCCCTACCAACTCTGGCCTACTGGATGCAGCCTGGGGCAGGGCTCTCAGACCAGTGCTGGTGAACATGCAGTTTGCATGTCATGATCTCTGTGTCTGCCTGAAATCTCATCATACTGTGTCAATCCCCCAAACTGGCTACCACCATCCACAAGCAAAGTTGTTTTTTCTTTTTGTGGTGCTGGGGCCTGAACCCAGGGCCACACTACATGGATAGGAGAGGGCTGTTGCTCTGAGTCCTCTGGTTCTGCTTCTGAAACTCAGGCCACCTGCACCCCTGTCCTTCTAGACAAGAGCTCTATCACTCAGCTACAGCCCAGCACCCCTTTTCCATTTTGTGAGGACCAGGCAGAGCCAGCTCAGGGGTAGTCTGAAACCTGAGGCCTGGGACACAGACTTCTACAAGGCTAGTTTCTCTCTGCTTACACCTATGGTGTAGGTGTGTGGAGCTGTGCATGCCTCAAGTGAGAGGCACCACACACATGCAATACAGGCGTGGGCAGAGCTCACACACATGTACCAGAGCAACATGAGTATGTATACAGCCCCAGCCCTAGCCTTCTCAGACCTCCCCGGGTCGTTAGGTCTCACTGCCCGGGGAAAAAGAAGAAACGTCACTGATTATTTCCAGTGCACAGAAGGTTTTTGCTTATTTGCAAACAGGCTGCTGGCTCAGAGGTGGCACAGGCTTTGACAGTATCTAATTTCCTCTCCTCTGTTCAGTCTTGGGGGCCTCCCTGAATCCCTATGACCATAAGGAAGGGTCCTCACCACACCCATGAACTTAGGAAGAAGGGGTCATGGAGGAGCCTGCTCACTTTCCATCTTCCAGGACCCAAGGTGATCTGCTGTGTCATGCCTGCCTGCCCAGGCAAAGGTGCTTCTCTTCAGACATCCCAGAGGCACAGCCCCACACAGCTCAACTTGGGCAGGGCCCCCTACCAGCTCTGGAGGCCACAGTCTCCACCACACTGGAGCAGAGTGGCAGGAAGACAGGGTTCATTCTGTGGCTCCTTCTGAGACCTGCCAGACAGCAGAGCTGACATGAGCTCCTGTCTGTGCCCCAGGCCTCTGTCATCCCACATGCTTTCAACAGCCCCAGCCTATCTAGGGTGTGCTCTTCCCTTTCCCAGCCTGCTTGAGTCCAAGTGTGAGGATCTTGAGAGGCTCCGTTGTCCCCTGGCAGCTTGCCTTTCTGCTTTAAGTAAAATATTCTCTTCAGAAGAGAAGAAAATACACTTCCCTTTGCCCCTCATCTGTGGGATGGGGAATGGGGGGATTTGTAGGCTTAGAAGGAGGCTGGAAATATGCCTAGGCTGTATGCCAGCCTCAGCCCCATGATGCACAGACCTGGGCACAGGAACTTTCCAGCTCCTGCCACACCCTGAGGGCACCCAGAACAGGTAGGTCTGGGATAGCTCCTTAAAGAAGTGTGGGGTGGGCACTGAGGACTCAGATTGTTGTCCTGCCCCTGCCCAGGGACAGGTAACATATGCCTCTCCTCACTCACTGGAGATTTCAGCCAGCTCCGTTTGCTCAATACATTTGAGAATTTGCTCCCTAGCTAAGACCCAGCTTCTCTTCAAACAGTGAGAGTGCGTGCCCAGCACATGGTTCCTCAGCCACATGCATATCCATGTTCCATCCCTGGAGTATCTGTGAGCAGGAAGTATGCACACACCCATGGACCTGGCCAAAGGGTTGGGGGAGCCAGCCTCTGAGCAAGGTGGAGTGCAAAGAAGCAGGCCCATGAAGCTCCTTCCCAAAGGGGTACTGGGCTCAGAAGAGTCGGGTCCAGGCCCAGGTTACCCCTCACACAGGGCAGTGATGGGGAGCCCAGATGGATGGGCAGCCCCATCCCCCTCTGATTGTAGATTTTCTATTTAAGGTGAGGGGGGTTGCTCATGCTGTGCTCAAGTCCCTTGCTTTCCCACTCTTGTGCAGGCTGTGGGGCTGTAGGCTGAGAGCAGTAGAAACTCCTTCCCTCCAAACAGAAAACAGAACTCTGGGGAGAAAAGCCCAGAGAATGGGTACCCAGGAGGCCCCTCCCCAGCACCAGCTGCTTGTAGGATATAGCAATGAAGGTTCCTTGCCCTGGCAGGTATGGTGATGGCAGGCAGGAGGTGGCTGTCTGCATACACCTGTGGAAAGCTCTTATGCCAGTGTACACCCATGTGTACTGAGCATGAGTGTGAACTTGTGTGGAAGCTGTTGGTCTGTGCCAGACTGTGTGGGGTGAGCATGTGGCTCCCCTTCCCCTGCCCAACATGCCTGCGTCTGAGGCTTCCCAGCCTGTCCATACTGTGTCCCTGGGGATCAAGGAGGAACCCAAGCACCCCCCCTCTAGTCCAAAGGAAAAAGCCTGAGAGGCAATCTAGGTCCACTCAGGCCTCTTGGCCCTCTGCCTCTCCTGCTAGGGGGCTGGGCCCACCACCCCTGCACCATGGCCCTCTCCCCGAGGGGCTCTAAGTTAGTCTCCCTTCAGAGCCTATTTCCTTTTTATCAATCACTGTCTGGGCATACATGCATGCTCCTGTCCACCAATCTCTTCTATGCTGAAGGCTAATGAGGACTTAGACTGTCTACCCTGGGTAGAGGGGTTGCACCAAAGAGCTGTCAACTGCAGCTCTCTGGTCATCCTCACTCCAAAGACGCTGCCCTAACTGGGCTCTGCATCACTAGGACACTTGGACAATCAGACCCTTGCAGGGCAATATTCCACCTCTCAGCACCCCAGATATATCCAAGCACATCCAGATCAGCCAGCACTGTCACCTCCCACAATGAGCCCAACCTCCAACCAGCTGGGTTTTGTAGACCATCAGAACAGGGCCCAAGATGAATGGTGTTAACCGGGGGAAGGCCTTGGAACTCTGGGCTGTTGGTTCCCAGAACTTGAGGAGGAGCTCCAAGCTAAGAGGGGGGTGGGGAGGGGGGTTGTTGCAGAACTGGTAAGACTCCTGAGTCCAGGTTAGCAGGGGCTTCTGCTTCCCAGGTACAGGCTAGAGAGTAGAGCACTCCCTCCACCTCCCCTGGGGAGGCTCCCTCCTCCACACCCACGGTGAAGTTGGGACTTCTAGTCCTAGAAAAACAGCACCATGTCTCTCTGCAGGGGAAGACCACACTCCCCCGATTCCCGGCCTAACTCCCAGTCTCACCACTGGCGAGGATATTCGACAGCCCGGACAGTCGCAAATCGGAGGGTGCACCTGCAGGATCCCCTTGGACATAAGCGTCTTCAGACTTTTTCCTGTCCGGAGAGCCGAGAGAATCTGTGAGAAGTGGCCAGGGCGCAGGTGGAGCGGCCTGCGCGCGCGCGCCTCGGGGCACAGCCCCAGCAAGACCGGGCCCCCTCCCAGCAGGTGCGCGGAACTGACTCGGGAGCTCCCTCCACCCTCCAGGGTCCAAGCCTGCCGCCCTCCCGATCCCACAGACGGGCAGCGATCTGCTGGGCCTGAAACTAGCCCCGGGCGAGCGCCCTCCCCCTGACGAAGGACGGCCTTCTGCCACCCTCGGCAACCCCCCCTCTCCGCTCCGCCCTCTCCGAGCTGGTCCCGCGGGAGTCCGCGACGGGGCTGAGGAAGGCGAGTCCGGGAGAGGTGAGCGGCGTGGCGGAGCCCGGGCCTGCGCCTGTCTCCCACAGCAGGAAGAGGGTGACCGGCGTGGAGCGCGAACCGAAGCTACGGCGTCACCAACTTTTTAACTCCCCCACCACGCTTGGCGTTCGCCAGCTTGCTAGGTATCCGAGCTCAGGCCACCACATCGCACCTTTGGGGGCGCTTTCCTAAGCGTGCATGAGACCAGCCTCCTCCGCTCGGACTCCGCGCGCCCCCGCCCACCTCTCCTTGCCTTAGTCCGCGCGCTTCGGCAGAGCACCCTTCGCTCCGAAACCCTTGGCTCCACGCCTGGCGGGGTCAGAAGGAACCCCGAGTTCCCATAAACTTCCTTTGGCTCTATAGGCTCAGGGGCCTCGCGGCCCGCCCGTGGGTAACCCGGAGTCCGAGGGCGCCTGGCTCAGGCTGGGGACGGCGAAGGACGAGGGCGCTTTGCCAGGCGACCCTGGCGACGGGGCTCGCGGGGAACTGGGGGCGGTGTCCCTGCGACTGCCTAGAGCTGAAGCGCCCCCTTTAGGCAGAGACCCGGTCTTCCAGGTGGCAGAGCGAAGGGCGAGGACCGGAGCCCAGAAGGACCGCAGCTGCCCCCCTTACCCACCCCCCCCCCGCGGCCGCACCTTTGTGGCGGATGCTGCGCTTCCAGTCCTTGGCCGTCTCGCGGCCGCTGACGAACTGGAACTCGTTGGGCGTGAGCCACTCGCCTCGGTGGCGGATGGATGGGCCTTTGCTGCCCTGGCAGAGTTTGCGCACGTAGAGCAGCGCGCGGTTGGCGCCACACTCCACTTCGATGCAGGGCTCGCCGTTGTCCAGCAGCGGCTGGAAGTCTGGCGCTGCGGCTGCAGAGGCCGAGAAGCGCTCTAGAGCCAGCGGGTCTCGGGGCAGCGGGGGAAAGGCGCGAGGGGGCTGAAGCGGCGGGACCAGCAGCGCCTCGTAGCCCGCGGCCGGGGCGGGCAGCGAGGCGGCTGGGGGCAGGGCGGCCGCGGCAGGCAGCGGCGCCAGGTAGCCGGGCAGTGGCGGCAGGGGCAGGGCGGCCAGGGCCGGGTGGAAGGCGGCCAGGGCGAGGGCCAGGTCCTCGCGGCCCGTAAGCTCCTTCTTGATCGCCGGCATGGCCCGCCGGTGCCCCGCAGCCGGCTCTCTGCCTGCGGTGCAACTTACACCGGCCGGCCTGGAGTTGGGTCTTGGGTCCGGGGGTACGCCCCGCTACTACTGTGCCCCTGCGCCGGTCGCCGACGCGCCGCCCCGCGCGCTGCCTCCGACAGCTGCCTGGCCGGCCAGCGGGGCCTCGGCGGTGGGAGACATGCCGCAGGGCGCCGGAGTCACCTGTGCCCACGCACCGGGGCGCTCCAGCGGCGCGCTCCTCGCCCGGCCAGCCAGGCTAAGCCGGCAATGAGGAATCTCGGTGTCGCTAGCCCCGCTGACAGCGCGGCCTGGGGGTCCCAAACCCCCGCCTCACCCCGCCCCGCTCGGCTGCCCGGCCGCGCACTCGCGTCCACTGGCGCGCGCCTGCCCGGCGGGGACTTCGGAGACTCCTGCCGCCGCCAACACCGCCGGCCGCCGCCACAACTTGGCCCATTTAAACAGCCCCGGCGCAGCGGCGGCGCGGGCTCCAGCGGGGGGTGCGTGACGGCCGACTGGGCTGGGGGGGGGCGGGACTGGGCTGCATCCCCCTCCCAACACAGCATAGGAGAAAGAGAGTCCATGGGGGAGTGGTGACTGGGAATGAGGCGTGGCATTAGTGGGTGTCACGGACGGGCAGGACAAGATCCCACGTGGGGCGGGGCAGAGTCCATCCTGATGGTGAGTGGGTTTTCCTTGGAGGGGGCCCTGGGGTACCCCCATTCTTCCAGTGTGTGAGCCTGGAGCCAGGGTAGGAGTGTTTGCAGGGTGTGTGGCTGTGGATTTGTGGAGGCTTTAAGGACGGTAATTCCCTCTTGTTGTCCACTTCCTTAGTCTGTGTTCTTACTTACTGTGAGGTTTCTGATGCATTATCCCAATTTTACAGATGAGGGGCCAGTGACAGAGAGATCTAGCAAGTTCTTGATGATACAGAGCTATTTTACTCCAGGATGTCTGCCTCCAGGACAGTGTCTGAGCCATAGTGTGGGGCAAGAAGAAGCAGTTCACCCCAGTAAGGGCCAGATTTGTGGCATGGGATCAGCTCTTGGTGTGTGTGTGCACCAGCACATTTCAGCTAGTCTAGGGGAGAGGTACCTGCCCCATCCTCCACTTTGCTGATGTGGGGGCAGATCAGCTGGGCAGCTGGTCTACTGGTCATCCTCCTGTACTCTATGCCTCCCTGCAGGTCTGGTTCTGTATGGACCTGGAGCGTCAGTAAGAGATAATGAGAAATCCTTGGCTCTGGAACAGCTGCTGAGAGAGGCCTCTTTCTCTGGTGTGTCATGTTAGATACACTAGAATGTGGTCTGATATTCCAGCCCAGCAGCTCATGTCTGTTCCGTTGAGGTATCTCTGGCATCCCTCTGGGTACCCCCTTGACTTGCCCGTGGGGCGTTGAGTGGGGTATAGAAAGTACCTTCTTTGAGAGAAAGGTTGACGGGGGAACAGCCCACCATTACCTCCCCAGCAGATACCAGCCCTAGTTGTGCATAGAGCTGACCACTGATGTCCACTCTACTTTCCCTCACCAACTCTTCAGTGGCCAAGGTGTCCCCTGGAAGTGAGTCTGGGCTGGATGTGTGTGGCTGGGAGCTGATGTCTGAACCCCTCTACCTTTTCAGTGGGGGCCTAGTACATCGACTGCTGGGGTCCAAGGGGCCAGGTGGGAAAGTGGGTGACCCCCTCCTTCACCAATCCTGGCCCTATCACCTCTGCTGCATGCTAATACCAGCACATCCCTGATCCAGGTGTGATAGCCAGCAATTCTCCCCCTACCACTGTGTCTTGCTTTGAGGTATGACTCTTCCATGGTTAAGGAATGCAGGATTCTACCAGTGAACCAGGGCCGCAGAGAGGCCACTGCACTAATAGGTGGCTGTGACCATCAGGCTGTGACCACATGCGGAGACCATCAGGGCTGGGCAGAGGCCAAGTGTCACCCTGTGTGCCACAGCTCTGATCAGCCTGCCAAAGACAGCTCTCACCCAGTGTTGTGTTTGCCAGCCCTGTCCTCAGGCCTCCTAAGCCTCACTATGTAGCTCTAGAAGCACAGGCTCTGATCTGACAACCTCTACCCTGCCTCCCATGGCCCTTCCATCCTACTCAGGCATCCTTGGGGGACAGGAGGTCTGGTCTGAGGGCCCACCCATCTCACTTTCTGTGCCACAGTCTCTCCACCCCATCTGGAGAACCACCCCCCAACAGGGATCATTGCAGCCTTCCCCCCTCCTTTTGGGATTAAATGTCTGCCCTGGGACCAGGTTTTATGACCAGCAGGTTATACTTCGAACACTTGCCCTGACTGACATGTGGATCCCACCTTCTTCTGCACATTTCAGATTGGAGCTGAGGGAAGGGGGAGAGAGAGAGAGAGAGAGAGTGAGTGAGAGCGAGCGCTATGGGGTGGAGTTGTCCCAGCCTGGCATTTGCCCACAGGGAGCACAGGGCACCAGCACCACAGTACTAATGCAGACCCATCTCAAAGGTGCCTCACTGTCGCTGCTCTGGGTCCCCCCATTCAGGGCCCTCTGCTGCTGGGCTGAGGCCAGAGCCACTGCCACTGGGAGGGGAAGGAGGGTCATAAATAACCAGAGGGCAGCAGCGGTGCAGCCGGTGACCTGAGATTCCTGGGGGAGCTTGAGGGCAGCTGCAGGGGCCTTTGCCCCCAACATGACTGCTCCAGCCTTGACCTACCCTGGAGTGCCTGCCTCTTAGGGCCCCCCTTACCCAGCCCTTCATCAATCACTCAACCATTTATTGAGCTCCAGATGTGATATAAACCCAAAAGAGACAGCCCTGAGGTGGGAAGAGAGATGTGGAGGAAAGCAGTGTCTGTAGAGCACAGGTGTGGAGTCAGAGAAGGTGCAGGTGAATGGAGTCCTAGCTTGCTCCTCACCTGTCTTCCTGAGCTCATAGGTCTGGTGATAAGGGGCTGCATATATGGGGAACAGGCCAGGAGGCACCCAGACGAGGGACAGGCAGTGCTTAAGGACAGCATATAGGCCACAGGTTTGGGCCCAGATGACCCTGAGTCCTGAGGAAGCACATTTGTGTACCCATGTGCCAGCCACTAGTAAGTGCCTGAATACCCAACACATATAGACAGCAGTCACAGGCGAGCACTTCTGTGTGACAGCACAGTGGCTCCTGAATCTGCACATGCAAGACAAGTGCACAGTACTCTTGAATTCCCACACAGCTTGGGCACCAACACAAGTACAGACAAGGTATGTGCAAGCTTACAGAAGCAGACAAACCCTACAAACCCTGAGACCTGGACATGAAACACAGATAAAAGCCACCAGCACCAGATGGACCTAGGTGCGAAACGTTCATCTGCCAAAAGAGGATGTTTAGACACAAGGGACTAGTTGGCCACACTGTTGGATACTGAAAGGTTAACCTAAAAGGTCAGGGGTTAGTGGTAAACCAGCTGGGACCTCCTCAGACATTCCTGCAGAGTGGTCAAAACCTCCAGGAATGTGCTTCTGGCCTTGGTCAGACACAAGGAAGCTGCCCTGCTGGGACATGCTGAGCCTTTGGCTCACTGTGAGTTGGCTACGGGCCATGTAACATCTCTCAGGAGATAGGAAGGTGTTTCTGAGGCCAGGCTGTTCACTGACCTTAATGTCTGCCACTTGAGGGAAAGAGGTGGGGCCTGAGCTCAACCTTACCCTGCTCCCAGGTTTGTAATCACAGTCCCCCAGATGTGTACATACAGGGATTTCAGTAGACACCCCTAGAACTCATGCTGCTGGGCCACTGCTAGTGGTACAGTGTCATGTTTAAGTGTGCCAACACATGCAGTGACCCCAGCACCAGAGCAGTGATGCACATGACCTGGACACACCTAGTGGCACCTTAGTGCAGCACAGAGGCCTCTTCCAGATACAGAAGCTACTGCTCTGGTAGCATTGGCAGGAGCCTTCAGTCTTGGGTCTTCACAATGAGCCCCTCCCCTCAAGGAGGGGCATGGACAATTCCTGGCCGCTATGGGGAGAGGGGCAGCCCCTGACCTGAAGCAGCTTTCCAGGTGCTGCAGTCCCATCTCGATGTAGGCTATACTGGAGGCTGAATCAGGTGCTGCAGAGATGGCACTGATAGTGACCTGAGCCTCAGACCCTCCTGGCCACACTGCATGAACCAGTCTTCTCTGTTTTTCTCAGAGTTGTGTTTCCCATCTGGCAAGGAGTGTTCAAAATCCATGGTTCCCCTTTGACCTGGAGCAGAGCAGTCAGGGCAAAGGTACCCAGGTTATGCAGGACAGGTGCCTTCCAGAGCCCTGCGTACCCCAGGCAGCTCCTCCATAAAATGGACCTGAAGTACAGAAGCTAAAGCACCCCCATCCCCCTGAGGCCAAGCAAAGGGAATGAGGTGAGTTCTCCCAGGCTCCTAGGAGCCTGAGTGTCTGCCCAGGGAGTAGGCATGAAGGCTGGTTCCGTCTTTCCTTTCCCCATGGACAGAAATGGCTGCAGCCTGTGTAGTAGAGGGACAGTCCATGGGAGCAGCTGTGGGGTTGATGTGTGGCTGCAGCCCAGTGCAGCCACCTCTCTTGGCTCAAACTAGCATAGGTGGGAGCCTTCCTTCAGGTGTGAGGCCAGGGGGTCTGCCAGAACTGAGCAGCATGCAGGCCTTGAGCCCAATCACATCTGGTCCATGTCCCAGGAGTAGAGTGTACAGGGGCTGAGAGAGGGCCAAGAGATCCTGTGTGCTCATGCCTATTGGCCTTGGGTGTGAGGGACACCTGCATGCTCACACGTCTGCACTTCCTTCATGCTATGTACCTCAGCTCATGCTGATCCCATGGGAAGGCCTTGGGGGTTCATGTTCCTGATTCTGGGGGCATTAGTTGGCCACTCTGCACTGCTTATCTCCCCTGCGCAGACCTTGAGCATTTAGGCCAGAGAGAGGCAGCAGACTATGCTGTCTTCAGAGCTTTAGTGTAGAGGTCAGTGTCCAAGGAGAAGTAGCAGTGTGCATGGAGAAGGAGTAGGCTCTGCCAGCCTGCCAGGTAAAACCAAGAAGAGGGCATCCTGCCAGGTTTGGTGTGCACAACTGTAATCCCATCCCCTTAGGAGGCGGAGGTAGGAGGACTGCAAGTGTGAGGCCAGTCCGGACAATTTAGTAAGGCTTTATTTCAAAGTAAAATTTTAAAAGTGCTAGGAATGTAGCTCAGTGGTAGAATACTTGTCTAGCAATTCCCAGGGCTGCAAAAGGTGGGGGCATCCCACTGAGTCCCTGTACACGGAAAGCTTGAAGGCCAAGGGAAATGGAGTGGGGGACTGCAGGGAAAAGGTAGAAGCTGGAAGGGGCATGTGGCCAGATATGCTTCTGAGATCCTCTCTGAAAGGCTGAAGATGGGACACTACTATGGTCGGGGCTGTCCCCAGCTCATAACCATGTGGGTGCAGCCCAGGGTTGATTCTGGACTCTCA